CGGTCCGCTCGGTTTCAAGCCAGCAACCACACTACGGTCTACGGTGTTCTCGCTCACTTTCCGTGATGCTCGTCGCGCGCAGCACACACTCTGTCCTATCCAAATGCTTCGAGAGTATGGCAAACACGTACAGTTGGTGCTAGAGATATAGCAAAGTCGTATAATAATAACAAACCGGACAGAAATTGAAATTGATAATATAATCGTTTGTTTATGTAATAACAAGACGTTTCAAGAAATGCAAGATACTCCAAAAAAAAAAAACAAAAATAAAGAAAGGAAAAGGAAGATTAATAATCAGGTTTTGAAAAATTTGTTACTTTTTTCTTAAAGACTTTGTGAAAAAGATTACGTTCAATTAATATTATTTATATTTATATTATATTTATTAATATTATTTATTTAATTGCTTATTTATTCAACAGATGGAATATCGAATTAAAATTGGGCTCGTAGTTTTGGGAAAAGTGGATCACGAAATTCGATGCATTTCCATAAAGATAAAATTAAATTGCGTCTCCTTTTAACAATAATAATTATTCGTATGATAGATTTGAAATTAAAAAAAAAACATCACGTAAAAATGATATTCGGATGCTTACATTCTGCGATCTATCTTCTCTAAGAAACTGACGCGCTATTCGTATTCGTTACGAATATGAGCTGCTGCAATATAATTCTAGGTCAGTATAAAGGTATACTTTGAAGCATTAATAACGCAAGTTTAACGCGTTACGAATAGAAAAGAGTCTCAGTTTTGATAAAAAGTAGTTTGTAATTTATTATAAAGGAAAGGGTAAAAGTTATTGTAAAACTGGAAAATTGTTAAGGGACGAGGAAAGATATAAACAAGTAGTAGATTTTGTCGAAAGATATAAGAAATATACGTTGAATAAACGGAACAAACAGAACGTTTATAAATATGAAATTGAAGGTGAAATGGAAAAATTGATAAAGAGAAAACTATTGAAAAAAATTTGCTTCCCAATTTTTCATAGCTCTTGCTTCGAAGATCTTTCATGAAATAATACTTGGAGTACTTGGAAAACAAACGAATATTATGTTAGCGTATTTCGAATAATGCTATATACAAACAAAGTAGATAAGAAATAAGAAGAGTGACATATTCTAAAGGGTTTATCGCAAAGGAAGGATATTGTTTTTGCGGATGAAAGCAAACATGGCATTTTTGGTTCGGACAGAAAAAGCATAGGGCGATGAAGAGCAAACGAAGCACCACGAGAACTAGAAGTTTAATAAAACTAAACTTTGAAACAGAGAGCAGGTTCTGTAACGGTATGGGGATATATCTCGAGCGTTGGTGTTGGTGAACTGGTATTCACCGATGGATATCTCGGATAAGAAGTAATTTTTGAACCTTTTAAAAGAAAATCTGTTCAAAAGTAGACATAAAGTAGAAACGTAAAACACAACCAAGTTCAATCGAGATAATGAGCTTAATGGAAAAACTTAAATAACGAAAGAATATTTATTATGCAATTGTTCTAAAGTTTAACGCTCAACTCTTCAATCAACCAAGCTAAACCCTCTATAGAACTTGTGGGATCAATTAAACTAAAGTATTGAAAAAATGCCAAGTAGCTAAAAGTCAGGATTGAAATTTAGATTAAGATAAGAATGGAATTCTATTAGACATCAGAATATTTGATATTTAAAAGATACTATATTGTAGATTTTACTCATGTTTCGTCGCTACATGTTTCTCTAAAAAAGCGACGAAATTTATTTTGGCCACTTTATAAGTTTATAAATTCAACCATCTTTAGGAGAAACGTTACATGTTCGAACTCGTTTTTCTAATAAATAAATGCTTATATATTGCTGTCGAAATGCATTATATAAATATAAGTTACAGGTATAAATACAGCGATACGTCGTATAACTATCGATATCTCCTACACATCTAATATATTTCTTTAGGAATATTTTCAGCAAAATTTTATCGATTAAAAATCTCTTTAATAGATAATTAATCGTTAATTACTTTGTAATGTGATTTTTTGCATAAATAGGTTATTTATAAAATAGCAAAATCAAGTGTATAATCATTTACGAATGTTAGCCTTTATGTCAACTACAATATTGCTTTTAAGATCACACGCGATTTTTTATTAAATAATTCACATACGTACATTACGTACAATGAATTTTTTAGAAATTCTACTTTTGTTCCACACGATCAGCAAGAAAATCTCAATTCCAACATTACGGTTCTATGTCTTTATATTTGAAAAATAATAAGAAACGTTTGATTGAATGCAGTGCACCGACTGTACATTATGTGATACCGAGCAAATTTCAATATGGCTTCTTGTGAATGTGTATTTGTGAAAGAATATATGTAGGTGTTTATTATGAATATTATAATCTTTAATATATAATGATAGAAATTGGATTAGAATATACATACGTGTATATATATATACAGTGATCCAGTCGAAGTTGCATATTTGCATTATTAGAAATACATATGTTTTCTCTATATAAAATCTACATACTTTTAGTATATAAATTATACAATTGTACAATAAATAATAATTTTACTATCTTTGCTACAAACGTAATGGAATTTAGTAATTATATGCTGTTCGACATATTTTCGTCGCAAAAGATATATCTAATCTTGAAATTTCGAAAAACTAACCTTCAAACAAGTAAACAGTTTATAATAGCGTAGAAATAGTTTAGAAATAGACCTTCAGGACAAATAAATATTTAATTCTTCAACATAACAATTATCCCAAAAAATTTTCTTAAGCTTTCTATCGATCACCCGGAATATACAATATAATCTCGTTAATCAATCGTTCTATTTCTACCGGGCCACTGTATACATATATATAATCCACAAGCTCGATAACTTACGGAAAGGTTCCATTAACAATAAAAGATACGCGTTTCCACAAGTATCAATAGGCTAAAAGTAGCACGTTATATTTTTACATGATACGTACACTGCAGTGATCGAAGCTCAGGCCAAATCATTTCCATAAGACGATAAATTAACGTTCGGGGTCGCGTTCACAAAAATAACGGCGCACCTAATTGAAACGAACAGCGCTATCTGTACGTACTCTGTCTCTGGTTCCCCCCTTTGTTTTTTGTTCGCTTCCATTGTAAGCCCTGATAAAATCATACGTTTTCAACCACACTACGAAGATTGAACGGAAACGGAAAAGAGAAGAAAAAAAAAGAATGAAATGAACCGCAAACCATTAAAAGCGACCTCGTCACTGAGAAAATCAGCTCACGTGAGTCGACGCCCTATTCTACGTCTTTGAGTCCACCTGGCGGGACGAAAAAGAAGAGTAATTCGCACGTATGCGATTATGAATATCACAGTTCGCTATTTCACGACTCGTTTCTATGGCTAACAGTCGCTTTGCGCGCTGTCGACGCGTGAAATTAGCGCGCCGATGCCGATATTCATTGTACAACCGGTCATCCATTGTACATACTCGACGATATCACGAATTATCAACATCGTGCTTTTTTCCTTTGGCGATGATTCGTACGCAGAAATCGCAAAAGGTAGTGGCGCGTGATAATTTTATCGTCGCGACAGCGATATGCCTGCACTTTCGTATCGTGAACATTTGATAAAGTAATTCTAAAAGATTCGAACATTCAAGTGATTCGTCATGATCGAGTGTTTTCCATTCGTTCAAATATATATATCGATATTTCTTAAGTTGGTAACATTGAAATAAATTTTCCTTTTCGAAGGAACTTGAAGTACCAATTTTATGGCAAAATACGGCACTCTGAATCGTTTATGTTTCGAGTTTTCATTAATACAACAATCAGAATGATAATATAGGAAATCTATACTATGGACACAATGAGTATGCTATATTACTTGAAAACTACGTACTTTACTTGGAGGATGAACTTAGGTATACGTCAGACACCAATACAGAACGGTATCATCACGACACAAGCATAATACTCACACGTGTCACGATATAATTAAAGAGGAAAAAGGTAGTAACAACGCAGTAACAACGTGACACATCGCCATTTCTGAATTTACAAAATAGATAAAATCATTTCGATATTTTCTACGGATGGCTAACACAGACAATAACCTAAAATTGAAAAGACCTAAAGCTACCTTATTTTGCGGTTTTAACTACTCTATACTCTATTCTAAATAACACACTTCTTGAACGCTGATAAAACATTTTTGAAAATATCGACCAGGTACAATGCACACGTCACGCGTATCATCAGCAGAAAATGAAATACAATAATAAGATAATGTAAGTAGATTTGCAGACCCGGTCAAGTTTAATGGATTTTGCGTAAAAAAATGTTATTCGTTTCATGTTTTTCAGCTTTTTTTCCTTGGATATCATGCAATTCACGTTTACGTAATTCTCGTAAGTTGGTGCATGTTACTCTCCTACGTATCGCGATAAAAGGGTAAAAATAAGAAATCCAATAAACATAACGTGAATTGTCAGCGTTTGACAAACACATACGGACATTTTTAATGTCGCCACTTGAAACCGCATTTTTACATAAAAATATCAATATCCTGAATTCTGACGATCTTTGTAACCTGACTAAGAAAAATATAATTGACGCTGTCATCGGCTCTGTCAGCGATTTCCATGAATATAAAGCGACGGCGAGCAGAACGAGGAGACACTGTGCGCTCGAACGACGGCGTTCTATCCACGCGTTATTTTCCCGAACGAAATTTTGGATAGTATCATGCATAGAAACGCGAGACACGATGAAACGATGAAACGAAAAATTGCAGAGGTCACTTTCTCTCAGAAAAAAGGAAACGACAAGACGATTATTAAACGTGCAACGGAGTACAAACCGGAGCGAGAGAGCGTCAACCTCGACGGGGAGGTTAGGCCATCAATGAACGTCGAGGTTAACCTTTTATTCCGTGGCTCCGGTGATTCTCGAGTTATCGAGAAAATCGTTGACCGAACGTGAAAATTTCGCTCGAAAACACTTACCCCATAAACCAGTCCACGGTATCGCGGAGATACTCGGGTAACCTATCCAGCTTGGATGATTTTCAGTTGGATCACCGCTGAGGAAAGTAGCACGAGAGTCGAGAAAACAAAATAAATTCTCTCTCTCTCCACTAACACCAGCAGCAGCAGCAGCAGCAGCAGCGGCGCACGTTTCGTGATCTCGTCAAATCTAACATGGCGAAGCTCTATTGTCACCTGTTCCCGTCATGCCTCACTTGCCCCCCTTCACCAGAAAATACTACCGATTTATCGCCGCCAGCGCGTACTTCGTCCCTGTATTTATGACACCGTTCTGATTCTATCCTCGATACACGGATCCGACGTATCTATGCCAATCGAACGCAAGTCTGAATGTGCACGACACCACACCACAAGGGGAAAGTCCAACTTAAACCGCACAGCTGATCAGCCGACGTCGAAAAACCAATTCAATCGCACACCCCCGTTTTAATACCTGACTGCAGAGGGTAGTACCTATCGCGCCTACTGGCTTACGAATAGTTCCCGACACAACCTTTCGCTATGAGATAGGCAGATGGTAAAACATTTCGAGTCGGTAACATCACAAGTAGCCAGGTCTCACTAGTAATCAATAATAATACTCGCGTAGTTATACTAGTTCCCAATTTGACCTACAGTTGATACAGTACTTATATCATTGATGATGAGGCGAGGTATAGACATTGACTAAGGATAACGGAATAAAAGTGACATTAAATAGAATTTCGTGTCTCACGTTTTGAAATACCGATCTCGAAAAAAGTCAGTGTTTCTCACGTCCTCTACAGTTTATGCATCGCGACGATTGTAATTAGTCCGCTTGAACGCGTTCTGTTTATTAAGATAAAACTTAACACAGTGCTATTAAATAAATCTCTGGTCAGTGATTTTATTTATTCGAACGTGAATTATTGTATAATATGAACGAGAAATCATAGGTAGTAAGGACGTAAATATTTATCGCTTGGCAGGCCCAAATAAACAAAATTCTGCGGCGTATTACAGACGCCATTAAATACGATAACGTGAGTAATTAAATTAATAATTTATATAAGGCAACATAATCTTATATTAGAAAGTAAGACAGATTTGTGAAAATGTATGTATTAGATATATATGTCTAATAATTAATCGTTGAACGATGATTACGTTAAGAAAATATATAAATTATTACAAAATATTCCGAGGCGTTGTGAAAACTAAAAATCTTGTAAAAGAATTTCGAAAAATCTATATTATTATTAATCTATATTATTTCAAATTGAAATATATAAATTTTGTCATTTTGGAATGAACGATCACTTTAGATTACTAGTCAATTTGATTGTATTATAATGGAAATATCACATTTCATACTATCGGCAAAAAGTCACTGCTCAACCGTCCTTCCAGAAGGTCGTTGCCAGGTTTTAGACATAGATACCTATGAAGTCCATTATGAACCTATTCTGTACATAAATACCTATCTGACTTCGAACAAAAAATGAAAATCTTATTATGTTGATAAGAAAAATTTATTGTTTTGATATTGTACAATGTACATGTGTAATGCACGTAATGTGTGTGTAATATTTTATTATTTTGATATCCTGTTCTGTATTTTATTTATAACTTCATATAAGGCTTTAGTTTTAATTCACATCAATACTATACTGAATCGACAACGTCGCATACGATCGGGAATTGGTATAGAGGTTGAGGTGATCCTCAAAACGTGGGACACGAAAAACATTGAATGTCACGTCTATTCTGTATTTCTTATATCAAATCGACAAAACGTAACTATATCGGAAATAAACTAAAAAAAAATACGCTATACATCGCTGGTGATATAGACTATGTACAGACTACGGTCGCTTACGCAGATCTGAAAATTCCACTGGAGATGGTAAGGGTTTTAAATCCAAGAGGTGTGGTTTATAAATTGGCCGCTGGTAATAGCGCTGCGATCGATTTAGTAGACTTCTGCATTTCACGCCATCTACTCCATCCTTATCACTGTAAGTAACGAATATATATTAATCTATCATAATTTTATTCAATATATTTAAAGTAAATATATAGTATTTCATGTGATACAGAAAAATGTTATTTAGATAAATGTAGATTTACATAATGGAGTAAAGTCCAGTTGGAGACAGGATCGTGTTGCAAATTGCAGTCACAACAAGCGCTGCATGATAAAACTTAAGAAATCGATCGAAGCGCCTTACTTGAGTAACATCTTCCGATATGTGAGAGCACAGACAAGGTACCTCATCGATAATACGAGCCTAGCTCTAGTTTCTCCACTGGAGTTTTCAGATCTGTGTATGTCTGGCGTTACGTTATAATATTATAAAGTGACGATAGAGGATCACAGGTATTATAATCGCGAAATGTGTCAAAGTAAATGATCATCTTACGTGAGAATTGTCTGAAATTCATGGAAATTCATAGAAATATATCCACAGAATATTCAAAACAATACAGGCTTACGGCTCCATCGCAGTACCATCGAGGTTTTGTTTTCATAGGTAACGTATTTCAGTTACTGTGGAAAATAACCCATATATGCAACCGTTTGTTTTAACTTCTGCAATCGGTTATAGTTATCCGTATATATTTTGAGATGCTGTAGATATTACACATTTATTACGTATATGTGTACAGTCAAAATGAAACATCTTTTGCGTGGAAATATGTATATAATTATAGGTACAATGATTTTATTTGTAGCTTGCATATGGATATACACAGTAGTTCAAACCGTTCACGGCAGAATAAAATATTCGTCTATACAACAGGTTTACATCTGAATCCGATTAATATATTTGTTTCCGTCGTATTTTATTTCTAGCACATTTTTATGCAACGTTAACGTATAACATACGATGTGAGAACTATTATTATATATTACAAATCCATTATTCTAATGGAACATGGATGTAATATATTGTAACATGCAATAGGGAAAACTGATAACACGAGCTATTTAGGATTATAAACCTCTGTAGTAGTGAATACGTGTTCGGGTCGAACGGAGACATCGTTGATGCTTCGTATCAACAGAATATTGTATCTGTCTCTCATATAGGTGTACGGCTTCTCGTGTAATATATGTATGTGTATGCAGTACATGTACATAATATGAAACGATACGACCTCCAAGCGCAATTGATTCTGTATTTATTCTCCAGTACCCAACTTCATTTCGAAGTCTTCTTTTTATTATAACGTAATGATATTGCAAATATATTATTTGTACGTAATTAATTGCTTATAATTAATGTCGTGAATATTGTGGAATTTTCATTAATAAGTACAGCAGTACTTATTGTTTTCACGTACTTCGTGATTTCTTCATGATTAATATTTTATTACAATTTTGGTAGATCATAATGTTAAATCAATATGCAATAATATTACTATATTAATTTTCCTGAAATGTATGGGTCAGCGACGATGTGATATTATATTCTTGATTTTATTATATCGGTTCGTAACTAGAAAGGCAATACATCGATAAAAACGTACTACAGGATTGTCGTGTTATAGATAATGAAACTTTGAAACGAGACATATTAAAAGTTCAACCCGAGTAACTGTACCATACGTTGAATACAATACATTCTCTAGACGAGAAAAAGACAACAGTAAAGAAAGTGCAAAGGAAACAGAACTAAAGAACAAAGAACGAAGATGAAGTACGCTGTATGCAAAGCAGTGGTCCTCAAATATTTTTATATTTTCTACATCTCTTGATTTTAGGAAGCGCTCATATTGATATATCATATATAATGATACGCAATATTTAAAAAAATCCATTTACATTAAAAATATCTAATAAATATCTATAATACGTATCTTTATTTAAAATTATGAACAAGTGTTCTGATTTCTTTAACTTTTAGCTTCGAGAGCCGCTGTTATAAAAGATTAGAGGGAGAAAGAGGAATCGAATACATGTGAGAAACAAACGAAAGAAAATACGCGAGAAGAGAAAGGTGGAAAACAGTAACGGAACAGGAAGAGGGAAAAACTGTGACAGAGGTGGCGGATGGGTAGGATGTTGCACACGCAAGTATGAACGAGAGTACGGACGTTATTAACACTATGCATCATATACTAGCATATATGCATATGCTAGATGGAAATATAGCGAAGTTTTTTATTGCCCTAAAGATAAATCACGACAAAATGCTGAAGATTCACGATTTTTCGCTACATGTTTTATTCCGATTAAATTTTCTTACGGCTCTGTAATAAAATTACCAGCCTCAAGGATTACTAATCTTCTGCATTAATAATTTAATAATCGTTTAGCGTTTATAAATGTCGTAAAAAATACAATGCATCTTCGCTATATTGCGTTTAGTTCTATCGCGTTACGAAAATCGCTTCGCTTGATTAAATACCTTTAGAAGTGCGAGAATAATACAATAATTGGTAATATACAATAAATTTATAAATTGTATCGTTCAGAATACATCCAGCGAAAGGCTTGAAAATTTGAAAAAGATATATCTGCGGATACGAGTATCTGACTTTCCTGTTGAATTATAAAAATATCGATATTTCATTCCAAAATAAAATACAAAAATAGAGATGACCTCGTTCGATATGTCTAAAGATCTTCTTGACGTAGGACTGGGGAATGTCAGTCATATACAACTGATATTTATTGAGTTTCAATAGTCGAAAGGATCGAAGCTCGTCTATTTCAATTGTGAAATATTTGTTCTGAATTGAACGCTTGAGAGGGAATTGAAATATTTCTTCTTCATCAAGAAGATTAGCGAGAGACTTTATTTCTATTCTTTACATTGTTTCCAATTCTTAGACTTACTGCGAATAATCAATGTCTTTTCTACAAACTTCTCTATCTTCTCAGAATACGTACGCTAAATTCAAATCAAATGGTTTTTCTACCATTCAACTATTCTATATTGTATGTACATTGCGATACAGAAGTATTTGGGCAACTGAGTTAATTCTATTAGAAGGTTCATATCTTTAATATATCTTTAGAATTATGATGGAGGAACGTTTCTATATTATTATTTCTTTAATTATTGCCACAACTGGGACTAAATAATATGAACTATAACAAAGTCTTCTGTGTTCTTTGAATCATCTTCGACTCAATCTTATCTTTCTATCTTTAAGAATTTCTTTAAGTTTGAAGAAAAGATGAAATAATCGTTATCGATATCTGCGATTTTTCGTTTCAATCTTTTGATAGAGACGTCGTTAAACATTAAACGTTTTTTGGTTAAAACGAGATCACGATTCAAAGATAAGAATTCAAGGATCGAAGAATTCAGAAGAAATGAAGAGTTGATTGTGTCAACAAGGTGGTCGATAGAGTAATGTTGCTTTTCACGCATTTCACAGTGAGTCTTCAGTGTCTATAGGTATTCGAACGACCGTAAACATAAATCGGTGTTTCTAAAATCGATTGCCATGCCAGCACACAATACGTTTCTGCTGGTTCAGTGGCGTAACACGTATTGCGTCTGTTAGTCTCCATTTGTACGTCTACCAAATTTCATTTCCAATTCCAATAGCCGCTAAACTTCAAATAGATCGAGATAAGGTGTACGACGATGGAATTAGTGGATGGCAGAGAACGCACACGCTGTTATGAATTTTCTAACTCGGAACGTCGAAGGAGACGTACCTATAATAAAATTGAATCAAATGATACGAAAGAGATTCCAGTTTTAAGCACTTTACGCGCGGTAAAATCCGATTCATGACAAATTCAAATCCTCCGCATCTTCTCATGAGTAATTCATTGCACGTTCTTGAATTATAAACTTCTCTTACGAGCGTAACGAATCCCCAAGATTCAGCTGGGAAATGTATTTAATTACATTTTTAAGGAGAACATTAATTTTTAGCATGCGAGCTGAAATTTTAATTTAGTTGAACGTCGCCGCGTTCCTCTATCTCAGCTACTTTATATTTAAATTTGAAAAAACAATTATCGCGTCTTCTATCGTCTTTCTCTTTTTTTTTCATTGGTTAACTTTTATTAGTTTGAAACATGAATTGCAGTCCCATATGTATTTATCGTGTTTTGTTTCAGTGATCTTCGCTTATAACGGGACCTTATATTCCGATAGGTCTGAGTGGCGTTAGAAAAATTATTGAAGAAAATTATAACATTATCGTGGAACGTATTGCACCTACCATTGGTCTCGTACAAGTTAAGGCGAAGAAAAAGAAGAGAAAGAGAAGAAATGAAAATATTACATGTTAGGACAGATAAGGACACCATGATCTTCCGCTGCCTTCTCGACGAGCTAAATGTAAATTTGGGTAAGTCACTTTGGAAGTTGGTATACTGGGTGTACGCGTGGTATGGCAGCTTATACGACCGCAGTGGTGCAACGTAGAACAAAACGGCTTAGTTCTGATATCCAGCTCACGAGTGTGTTGCGTTATCCACCCCGGAACTTAGCTAATTTCGCTTTAGACCGTGTCCAATGTTTGTACCTGTGTAGCTACTCGGCCTCGTTACAAGTTTTTTAGCTCTTTAAACGTTTCATGTTGCTATACTGAATATACATTGATAAATATTCCGTTATCTTTGCGTCACTTGCATATTGTTTGCAGTAAACAAGTTAATCTCTTCACACGCATTTCATGTTAATATATGTTAAACACTACGTGCAATTTTTATTTATTATTGAAGCACAACTGAAATGAATCGAAATGGGAATCGTCCAATGTAATTTCTGCTCTTTCGTAACTAAACACGCACGCTACCATAGTGGATTGAAGCAAAATGACCACCACAGATCATGTTTTGTTTCTTATACTTTGATATAATATATATCGTTTATTGTAAAGAATAATCGTTTCAGATTTATTCTTTTAACCAAGCATGTTAGTTATGTGTCCAGCTAAATTACGTTTAAAGCGTCACATATGCGTGGTAAACGCGCTGAATAGCGTGCTATGATAAACATTTCATGAAAAGTCGACATTCACAGTCTAGTTTAAAGTTATTGGTACGTGATTTACTTAGTTACTTAGTTCTTGGTTATTGGTTGAAGTTTACATATTTTGAATTTCGTTGCATCGTAGAGCATTTCGTAAATGTATTGAGCTTCTATCAACACACAGTACTTTTCATTTGCGCTTTTGCATGTAATCTTTTATTCGCTACTTACTACTTCGTTTGAGATTAAATTTCCTTCCAAGAACTTTGTCCTGTGAAGCGGATACTCTAAATTATCCTAAAGCTGCATCTCTCGATTCTATTCATTCTTTTCAACAAATTATACACTTACACACACAATGCATCACAAAATGCTCTAGCGTTACAAGTACATTTTAAAATTAACTCGTACCTTACACGATGAGCACGTATCTTCCTTATCTCGCCTCTAAATTATTGCTAGGTCATTGTCCCAGATTATTTTAATTACTTGTCCCTTTTGGGGACTAAGGTCGTTTCCAACGTTCCTTTTGATACAAACCCTCTTACTTTTTATTCATTGACAATGTGCTCCCTATCGTTCTATCAGATCTTAATGTTGTGAAGGGAAACACCATTTGAAGAATGAGAGAAGATGGAAATTTCGTTTAATCAGAGGAACGTGCGTTGTGATTTTTGTCGTGGTATGGCTATTGAAGTTTATTAGCCACGTGAGGTTCGAAATTCGTATATGGCCTTGAAAACGCTTCGCATAATTGCGGTAGATTCCACCGCAGCGAGCAGTCGAGATGATACAGAATGGATATACATTTCATGATCATAGAGTTATAAATATATAGATATAAATAGATACAGATGTAGTAGATGTAAGGTTTGATAGCCCGTACCTAGCGTTGCCAGGGTGAATAAACTTTTTCGCGATATTTAAATCGTATTTGACATGAATCGTTATTAGAATACGGAGTGTTCATGCAAATTCACATTTTTACAGATAATGATGAAAAAATCGAACAGAATAATAATCATCGTAATCATATCATATGGATTTCATTATATAATATTCTGACTGGTTTTAGCGTTATTTCGAGTTCATACGGTTTGCATCACCCACGCCTATTCCTTCGAAAATCTTCAACATCTGTATATGTATTTCGCACAATTTGCGAAAATGTTACTTTGATAGTAAGTTTAAAGTGAATAACTGTGCAGCATCGTTATCTACGTGGCTGAAAACAGTAGCGGCGATTCCAAAATTCAGTTATCCACGTAGAACGTTATTTCGAGGCATTGGACAGCAGCATTTAAATATGAAGCACCCTATTATTAGACACGTTTCTGTTCGCCGTTTAAAGGATCCTGTAAAACGTTTCGAGTTAAACTCGCTGGAGGGACGAAAATCCTAGATTTAGTAGCATCAGCAGCCTTAACACGGATTATCCATACGGCGTATCTATTATACCGTGCTTGTACCGCGACGACGATAAATGACGTTGATAATGGCGAAAGCTTGTCCCGCTTTGATATTTATAACAGCGTGATGCCGCGTCTCGTCGGTTGTCTTCGCAAATCCCAAGAACCGTCCTGCTCTGATGTGCATATGTGTACGCCATACCAACGAGCACGTATATTTTAGTTGGCTTTTTCTTCCAGACGATCGTCCGGGGACACATGTTGTCAAATATTCTAGGAGTGCCCCTTGAGGCCTGTTTCTCTTCAGGCTTGACTTTGGATTCATCTCTCGACCGCTCGTTTCCTTCCGCTCCCGAAGAAGTTTCGCGACAGCTATCCTCGACTACAGTGACAGCTCTTTTGACCGGGTAAGATGTTTCTCCTGGCTATCCTCAGGATATTTGAAAATCCGCCGCCTTTGAGTCGCCAGCTACATCCACAATAATAAGTTATACTTCAACTTTGTGCTTTAAATAATAAGGCAAGTAGGATGATAGAGTAAGTGGATGGTCGGTGTTTGATATGCATAACTTGAATAATTGAGTACGATAGGATCTTATCTTAGAGATTATGGAAAGAAGATATTATAATGGGAACTGGGTAACAGAGAAGGTGTACCTTTCTAGAATTTTAATCGTATTTCATATTAATCAAGAATTTTTCCTCAAAAGGTTATCATCGGCTGAACGCGTTATTCTCGGTAATTAAACGTAATTGATTTTATAAATTGAAATATGAAGACACAGAGATATTGACATTAGGAATTAGTTATTTAACAGTGTAGCAGGAGAAAGACTTGGGTATATTGTTAAATATAATACTACACATTTTTCCTCATATGCAATGCGATTATTAATATTTGTTTCCTATAAAAAATCAAAAGTACGTATATTTTTTGTATCTGAGGTGAAAATTGGAGGAAATTTGAAGGATAAGGAGACGATGATTTTCTAAATATTTCATTTTCAACTCGTCGTTATCTTATTGTACTGTTAATGAGTTAAGACAACTTTTGTGTTTGAAAAAAGGACCTTCGAGAGATATTTGATAGAATCTTCTTTATTTAACATTTATGATCATATTAAGATATAAGTAGGTACTATCGTATGATCTTCTACTTTGTAGAAGAATTATAAAGGTCGATTTCAATTTACGAGAACAGAAGGTATAGAACGCATAGCGTGTAATTTCACATCAAACCAAGTCAAGTTTGGTCGTGCAATTCTCGAAAGCAACGTGTCCGTCGAATATTACGACAGCTCGACGTACCATCTCCTGAAGTAACGCTGCGAATACCAACAACCACTTTGTTTCCTTTCCATAAGAGTTCAGCTTTGCTTTTATACACGGCACTTTGACCGACTTTGGCTATGACTTTTTTTATTATATTCTCTTTAACTATACAATACGTCGTCAAGTTTAAAGAATTGCAGCTATCAAAATGTGAATGAACCATAACTTTGTTGGAACCTTACAATATATGTATACATAATCATAAGTTTACGTGGAATTTTTCAATTTATTTGCCAAATAATACTCGTATTTGTTAAAATAAATCTATGAAGCATTCTACGCAGTGAATATTCCAAATTGATTTCTAATCTACAATTTCTAAGATCTCTAATTTTATTATCACTTATACGATATATCAGTACGTTCGTAGCGTAAATTTTAACGCTCTGACATAGAAAATAGTATTTTATCTAAAACACAAGTATTAAAAATTAATACGACTTCGAACTTCACTCAAACATTTTTTCTCTCTCGTGTACTGAATTTTTCCGATTTAACACATTTGGTAGACGAGTCAGCTGCGATAGTCATTTTTTAGAGTGTTTCCTTGAATAAGAAAAAAAAGGATTGTAACTACAAGCTTGTCTTTAAAAAAAAAAAAGCGCAGAAAATATATGATGATAGAACATACACATTTATACCGTAGTGACGTGTAGAAAAATTTAGAAAAATACATACAACGTGAGTAGCGGTCTTAAGCAAGTATTAAACAGATGGTCCCACTGAATACTGCGACTTATTCGTATTCCGAATGGCTGCTCGTTTAAATGTTCTTTTGATCTCCTTCAAATATAATATCCTACGTCTGTAACATCGATCTTATAACGTTTGTATACATTTTCAGGATCGTCTAATATTTCACTAATACATGTCATGTGAGTTGGCTATTGTTACAATGCTAATAAAATTTCAAAATATTTCGTATGACAAATAGTGATAAATAGTGTCAAATAGTAATAAATAGTATGATAAATAGTGTCAAGCAAATGCACGAGTACTCTGGCATTTGTAGACAGAGCTGAATCAGCAGGTAGAACTTGTTTTACTTTCCAAAATACTAACTTGAACGTTACTATTGTAGATATACTTAACTGTTCCAAGTGAATTTTTGATTAATGCTGAAGCGAACGATACAGACACGTCTAGTCAGGACGCCAACCAGTGGTTTTGTCTTTGCGGTCGTGCTCAATATGTCGTCGCGTATCGTGCGCAGTTGCGATTGACAAACGACCGCAACATCAACTCTGCGTTGGCCAAACGCAAAGCTGATGGGTGTTCGTAATCATCGAACCTCTTGGCTCCCTCAAATAATCCGTTTTGCCGTGTAAATTACACCTTCGACATGGTTGAGCGCGCGTTACACTTCGTTTCACATTTCCAGTATCGTGTTTGTCTTTCCTTATTCGCATTGCTATAAAAGCTGGTTACGTTGAGCAAAATCTGTTATGATGAGTGCTCCTTCAAGTACTAAAGTATTAAGTACTAAGCACCAAGTGCTTAAATATTAAATGAACGAGGTAAAATAACGATGAAATAATAATAAAGGAAATAAGTTAAATAATGTTCAATTTTTGTGAAACTATGCAGTACAGTTTGGCAAGCTTTCAGTTATTAGCCTTATTGCGTTCTTTCTGTAATTTTCGACCGGATCATATCTTTCTATCGTTCCGAATTTCTTTTAAGTTTGGGGAAAATGAGAAGGAATCGTTGTTTCAAATTTTCTTCAAAGTTTCTTTGTTTTGTTTGTTTGAAACGACTTGAATTGCGAAATTAAGACACAAAGAATTGATAGATTGCAGCAGAGTTAACTAGGGATACTTCAAAACGCTTTGACTTCTGAAATGAATGCATATGCCAGATCATACGTCATTTCAGATCATTAAACTTCGCCTAATGAAGGATAACTCGGTCTAGTTGTGTGGGATACCTTATATGTATAAATACTTATATATTTTTTTTTTCATTGGAATCTATTACAATTTCCCAGCTAATGAAAGAGTTCACAGAATCAGAATGTCTTGTTGATCTTGTAAAAACAATTTAGTAATGCGCCCTTATAAATACTTTACTACAAACGTTACGGGATTTGTAAGTTTGGTGCTTTTAATAATGACGAGATGTTGCTTGAAAAGTTTTCCTCGAAAATCAAAGTTGTTACGTAGTATAAATTGCAGCAAAGTTTGAAGCGTTTAAATCGGTTTGAAATTATTAGAGCCGCTTGAATATACAACATGCGAGTTGGTTAAATGTCACTCTTTATATATGAATTGAAAGATCTTGTAAATTTATAATTATTTATCTTTTCTATTACATATGATATTTTGAAAATATTTGTTAATTTAACACCGTAAAACACATTGATTGAAATACGAGAATCGAAGATGGCAGAATAAATCGTAAGGTCGCAACATGTTAAAATATTGTTATTTTCCATGGCTCGAGGTGGCCACCATGTTCATTTTCATTAAAAGCAAAAAACGAAGGAAAACGTGAAAAATAGAGAGGGGAAAGAGGAATAATAACGTAAACAAAGACAGTAGGTTCGTTTGCGAGTTAATGTAAAACATCGGATAAAGTCTATAGAAGTATTTTCATAAAAGATTTTTAACATTCTCTTTATTGTTCTTCAGCACGAAAGCTTTTAACGTTTGCATTTTACATTGTACAGCGTTTCTAATTCTCGACGATAAACGTCTTCTTGGAACGGTGACACGCTTGCTAAGACACACGTATATGAATATGCCTGAAAAGGGTTAAAAAATATGTTTATTGTGGTATGATTTTTATTATCTCTTCACATTTATGCCTTCTCGCCAGTTATATTTCTTGCAATCCATTGGTTGGTTCAGTTACTCCAGTTCGCTCCCTCTTTTTATTACGTTTCTCTACTTTTCGGTATTCCGTTTTATGTTCGCCATATCGTAGTATTATCGGAGTATTACCACTCGTGAAAGTGCAATATATGAATTGGATGTACGTCAATCGTCGTAAGTGTCGATCCATTCAAATCGAACCTTTTACTTATGATCGACATTAAATATTGCCGTACCTATAATGCTGACATAGATATGTCAACTTACAATGTAATTGTTGTAATTTCTCATACTCGATATATTATTTTAATCTTTACTTCTCAACAACTATTCCACGATGAACAACAAATAATAGAAATTTTCTACATACATGTAACATAAAACCAATCTACGAAGGATTCTTTCATTTGTAAATTCTGTATTACTATAATTTCCCAATTCATATGCATATTCGTTCACATTATACACTTAAAACTTTTCATTTTCTTCACTTATAGTTGTATCAGTCCCTTATGATGCTTATGGTGTTTTAGAAATCTTCGTACGAATTACAAAAGAAAAGAGACCTTCCGAGGTCTAGCTTCCATCATGATAATCTCAATTATAATTCACCTTTATATTCTGCGAATACATTTATACTTCGTAATTTAACACCATTAATAGCTGTATTATATTTATATTTATGTACATACTAGCTTCACCGAAGAATCGACAGATATCAATCACAGTCGAAGCCCGATATTTTTCATTCTCTTCCACTTCATACTTGCACGTTATTCGTTTTCCTGTTCCCCTTTATCGCTTGAAGAATTGGTGACATCGGCGCATCACGGAAATGCAACGGTTGCGTTGGTTGCATTGCTATGTACCACGGGTCGCTTGTGTGAGAGGTCAGTTTATACGAGGTGGAAAGGAAGATCGTTGGGAACAAGAGTTGAAGCGAGAACTAGGGACGAGTGGAAAAGCTGTAGGGGCAGTGGATAGAATGGGTAAATGATAAATATTTCAACCAGCGGCATACTCGACGAAACGAACTCGCAACTTAGGTGGTATAGGTCAGGGTTTAGCTTTAGTCGGTACCTGCTAAAACTAACCGCGTAAAATATACAATGCTAGGAAATTCTGCTTTCTCTTCTCTTCCTCTTCAACATCCCTCGTTGTTCGCTTTATGGACTTCGTGTCGGAGGTCGTGTCGAACAGAAGTTTCAAAATAACTTATTTGCTACTGGCAGCTGTACGGGATTATTTTAGATTTTAATACCATGACAATAATAACGCTTACGATTTTATTATATACTGTAGCATAAAAGTTTGGTGACTACGTGTTTCATAAAAGCCAAGGATTTTCTAAAATGTCAATTTGGAATTGTCCTGTTACTTTAGAAAATTTTGTTATCAGACCGCTTATCGAAATAAAGGAATGTTATTTATAGATAGACGGCATGGATTATCCGAATTAGGACTAAAATCAACAAAAGGTTCTGTAAAAATGTAATTGAGAAGATATTCAAAATTTTTGACCGACCATGTATAAAGCTAACAGTATTTGTATAAGTTGGACGAACAAAGTGGGAGCATTACGTAATTCTATGTAATTTGCGTAGAAACTTAGCGAGGAGAGAATGTTGTTTTCGAATTTTAATCTTACCGAGCTTTATACGAAAATGTGCATTTAAAAATGGTGTAATTATCCAGAATTTAATTTTATCAATTACATATTTAAATAAATATAATGGACATACAAGCGATTGTTAGAAAAGATTCAAAGTATTCAAGATGTTAAGACGTTAAAAATATTGTGTTTTGCAAATTGTTGCATTATTATTATTATAATTTATGGCTTTAGAGAAATTTGTGCTTTATTTTAATCTCTGATTTATTTTGATCTTTTTAATAGATAAATTATAGCATAACAAGGATTACAGAAAGAGTATGAAGTGGAAAGGATTTTCTGAGGATATATTCATTTTCTTGGTTAAAGTATATTATGTTTTTGCTTTGCCGAGTTAAATGCTGTTCAGCATGCAAGCTGAATTTTGGACCTTCTAAATGTGTTAAAATATTTTACGGGAGAAATATAATAAATATAGTACCTACTTCGTTAAATCCCTTGTTCCTGTAAAAAGATACTCTCCCTTTTGTTGCTACATTTTCAGTTCATAGATTCATATATAAACACGTTAAATACAACAACGAGTTAAAATATTTTAATTATTCTGATTATAGAGTGTTAATCATGCAGGTTTTAATTTCATACACTTTTTATAAATTTTTAAATAGTTTTGCTCTGATTTATTTTTATAGATTTTTAATTATTTCTTGTTCTAAAATTTAAACAAAGCTAAAATAACAGAGTCATGCAACAACGTAGAGAAGTAATTTTAATA